GGACGTGGTTCCTTATCTATGCGGCAAAGACACAGCCAGCCCCCAAAGGAATGCTCTTTGTCCATGCAGGCGGCCCTGAAGCGGGTATCCAATCTGGTCGTGGTTTCTATGCTTTTATGTTCAAAGAGTAATTTGGACCAGATCCAAGAGTATGACGTAGTCTTTGTGGACCAGCGTGGCATGGGTTTGTCCTATGCTGGGCTGCTGAAAAGACTTCGCCATCCCCACATCATGGGAGGAGGCGAATCACTCGGACCTGAATTCGGCTGTTGCTGGACCCCTCGCATCGAACATCAACTTCACCGACTCCGAGGGGCGCGTGCACGAGCCGCCCTTCACGTTTTTGAACGACGGGACCAACACCTGGAACAGTCCGAGAGACTACGGCAACCACAAACAGGTGCTCAAGTTCTTGGAGCGCAAAGCTGAGATCATTGCCGCATGCTCGGAGACGCTCGACCGTCCAGATGGACATGACACGTACAATTTGCTGCAGTACATGGGCATGCAAGCACAGGTCCATGACATCGAGTGGCTACGCTGGGCTTTTGGTGGCTACCCCATCACTGTCCTTGGCTTCAGCTACGGCACCCGTGTTGCGGCTGCGTATGCATCCCAATTCCCCGGAGCCGTGCAGCGCGTTGCAGTGTCGGGCGTCGAAGCCTCCAACCCAGATCTGCTAGAGTTCGCCAAGGAGTCCGGGCTCAACACGGTGGAGATCCTGGGGTTTGTCCAAAGCCAATGCGCAGAGAGCACATGCCGCAAGAATCCCTTCACGAAGGGTGAGATCAACGAGCCGGGATTTTATTTTGACGGGGACATCAATGCGGCGGTCAAGGAGCTCTTCCACCGCTCCTCGCACGGTGGTAGTTGGTATCCAAAGAGGTGTGGTGGATCCTTTGTTCCAATGACCTTTCTTTCATGGTGTCTGCGTATGCTCCTGGTCTCAATGGATTCCGATCTGGTACAGGAACTCCTTCAATATTTTCAGGATTTCCACACAAGACGGTGCCGCCATTTTGGCAGCTTAGCATCTTTTACCTCATCCCAGCACTTGACATGGCAGGACGGTGGCAGGCGAACCAGGTGGCAAAGTTCATCGCATCGAACGCAGCAGACCGGACGCTAATGCCGGCTGCGTACATGTTTGTCCTGAATGCCCAAGGAGCGTACGGCTGGCCGCAGCTGCCGACGCCTGTTGGCTTCTCGAACCCAACAGTGGATGCGGTGGCAGTCAACACCTTGTATGATGAGCGCACTGGCATGAACATGGCGCAAA